AGATGGACAGGCACGTCAAGATCAAGAGGGCCATCAACTTCATCATGGTGGTGGCCGTGGTCTTCATCATCTGCTTCCTGCCCAGCGTGGCCGTGCGGATGCGTATCTTCTGGCTCCTGCGCACGGCGGGGACGCAGGACTGTGACGTGTACCGCTCCGTCGACCTGGCCTTCTTCATCACCCTCAGCTTCACCTACATGAACAGCATGCTGGACCCCCTGGTCTACTACTTCTCCAGCCCCTCGTTCCCCAACTTCTTCTCCGCGCTCATCAACCGCTGCCTGCGGAGGAGCCCAGCAGGTGAGCCGGAGAACAACAGGAGCACCAGCGTGGAGCTCACTGGGGACCCGAGCACCGCTCGGAGCGCTCCGGACGCGCTAGTGGCCGAGCCCAACGGGCCACGGAGCCCCTCCTACCTGGTCCCAAATCCTCGTTAGACGGTGGTTCCGAGGAAGGAGACTGTCGGCAAGAAGCGAGATCTCTGGAGAGACCCGGGGCTGGCGCACAGGGCGCTGTGGCTGGACTTGGCTTGAGGCTTCCTGCAGCTTCCACCTTCAGAGACTGGGATTTGGAGAGACGGCGTGGTCCTGTGGGCAGTGTGGTTGCAAGATTCAGCCACAGACATCGTGAGGGAACAGATGGCAAACTTCTGGGCATCTGCAACCGCTGCTCAGTCTCTGATCCCTGCAGCACTGGAGATGGGCGAACTGTCCAGGTCTCTGTTGGGCAGAGCTGGAGCCCCACGGCTGCCCCTGGGGGTCTGTGGCTTGTCGGCCTCCTTCCTTCGCCTGCCTGAGACGTGGACGGTTCTCAGCTCGTGGGGTGACGCCTCGCCTGTGTGTGAGCTCCAGCAGAGGCAAAGAGTGCTAACAGACTGGAAGGGACGGACGTGGCTCCTGGTAGAAGCCCAGGGCATCACGAAACAAGCCCTTAGGTCACCTCACACTTTAGTAGATGCGGAGCAGGCAAAGGGACTCATACATTTTGGATATATCTGAGTTTCCAGCTGTGGTGACAAGGGGATTAGCCCCAGGAGGGACCGAGCCAAACAGTGTTATTAGGGGAAAGGAAATGGTCTTTGTGCTGCAGCCAGGCAGGGATCCGGCTCCTCGGATCCATTCCTCTCCGTGTACACTAACGTGAGCGCTGAGCAGTTCAAAGGCTTCGGGACGAAAGCTGCTTCTGTTTGCTTAGGTCATTCACAGGGAGCCACTCCCGGGTGCCGGGGGCAAGGTTCCTTCTGGCTCACTTGCTTGTGTTTCTGTATTTAAAAGAAATTGACCATTTCAATAAATTTTGATAGGAGACGCAGTCTGGCATTGTGTTTGTCTGGGTTACGGTTCACAGACAGATTTCTAATTTAGGCGCAGACCTTCTTGGGTGGTTAACTCTGTCCTGGCAGAAAAATTCTGTGCACTGGAAAGCAAGACAAGGACTGGGGTGCCGGCGGCGTGGCGAGAGATTGACCCAGAAATCACACTTGGCGTCCGGCTGAGGATGGAAAGGGGCTGGGACACCTGAGAGCCATCTAACGTGGAGGGGCGCCCGGGCAAGGTTCCAGGAGGAGTTCACGTTCTATCTGGAGTTTTGTGAGCCCTGCTGTTAGCGTTTGTGTGTTAAGGAAGGGATCGGATCAGACTCAAGTCTTCTGCAGGAGGCGGAAGAGTTTCCTGCAGGGCCTTTTCAGTTCCCAGTTCCGAGACAGAAAGGAGATGTTCTGGTTTGAGTCCTGATCCGCCCAAGTTTCTGTTACGCTTTCATTTCCATCTGCCGTCCCGCCTTCACGGCTTGAGCGAGATGAGCGAGATGAGGCTTGCTCCAGCCTCCGCGCCTGGACACAGATAAGGAACTTAACTATTCAGACGCCCAGTCCCAAGAAGGACGCGTTCCTGGATTTCTCAAGACCCGCGTGTCTGCAGCACCCAGCAACGCCCAGCGTGAGAAAGTCAAAAGCGGGCACCGCCTTCTTGGGAGGGGACGGAGGAACTGAGCTCAGTGGGGCCCCCAGCTGCTCGCCCCTGGAAGCCTGGCTGTGAAACCCCAGGGCTTTGCGGGGACCGGGCGGCTTGCAGCATTCGGAATTCAGGTCTCATCCATTCACTCATTCAGGCCCCATTGGTGTCCGCGTCTTCATCACCGACTCCGCGCCTGGGTGGTGGCCCTGGAGCGAGGACTGAGGCAGTCTGGGTCTCCTTTGGACTCAAGTTCAAGGTTGAGGGGGAGATGGCAACAAAGCAAACACGGTTGTAAAGGGAATGGGATAAGGGGCTCCAGGGAACGTGGAGACACAGCAGGGTGAGTGGGAGGAAGAGTAGCCCGAGCTGGGATGCATGGGGAGGCCTCTCTGAGGAGGTGACTTCAGGGTGAGCCATGAATGACAAGACAGAGCAAGCCACGCAAGCGTTACGGGAAGGGGGCGGCACGCCACGTGGGCATCAGTTCAAGTCCCGGCTGCTCCATTTCCGATCCAGCTCCCTGCTAATGTGCCTGGGAAAGCAGCCGGAGGGTGGTCCAGGTGCTTGGGTTCCTGCACCCATATGGGAGACCCATTAGACACTCCTGGCTTCAGATCGGCCCATATCCGGCTGTTGTGGCCTCTGCCTTTCAAATAAACAAACAAACAAAGATTTTTTAAAAATATCAGACGGACACGCTAGGCAGAGGGAACAGGGAGTGCGTAGGCCCTGGGGTGAGAAGTGGCTGGGGTGTACGAGCATACTGGTTTCCTGTGGCTGCCTTAACAGATACCCTGATATTGGACAGCTTAAAACAATATAAATCTGTGTTCACTGTTCTGGAGGGCAGAAGTCCAAAGCCAATGTGTCAGCTGGGGCTGCCCCTCCTGGAGGCTCCGCCCGACTCCACAGCTGGAGGTTGCCGGCAGCCCCGTGTTCCTTGGGCACAGACTCATCCCCCATCTCTGCCTGCATTTGCACGTGGCCTTCTCCTGGTGCCCTGTGCCTTCTCTGCAGTCCCGAGGACACTTGGCACTGGCTCTCCCCCCGAGAGTCTGCCTCTAGCTACACCTGCAGAGGCCCTCGTTCTAGTGAGGTCACGTTCTAAGGCTCAGGGTGAACCTGCCTTGAGGAGCCACACTCCAATCGCCTGTAATGAGGAAGACAGAGTCAGAGCAGCTGGCGCTGTGGGCAGGCGGTGGCTGCACCCTGAGCAAAGCAGAGATGAGACAAAGATCCTCTTAGCCCGAGCAGAGAGTTTCCAAACAGAATGCCACCTTTATTTTCTTCAAAACAAAACAAGCACGCGTGGGCCCAAGCATTGTGACACAGTGGTCGAGAGGCCACTGGGAAGCCCACAGATGGGAGTGCCTGGCTTTGGGGCCCGACTCCACTCATGACCCAGCTTCCTGTCAATGTGTGCCCTGGGAGGCAGCAGGCGATGGTCCAAGTTCTTCTTTCCCTGTCACCTACATGGGAAACCGAGGCTGGGTTCCTGGCTCTTGCCTTCGGCCTGGCCCACTCCCAGCTGTTGCAGACATTTAGGGAGTAAACCAATGGATGGAAGATTCTCGCTTACTCGCTCTCTTTTTCTCTCTCTGTCACTCAACAGAGAAAAATAAATAAAACTTGAAAAAAGAGAAAACTGTGTGCATTTGTGTATTTATGCACAGAACAGGAGCCTTAAAGTGGGTTGTACCTTTCTGGACTTTTCCTTACTTTTAAATCATCAACATTCATTCCAGTGAGCTTGTCTTAGAGTTAGGTATGCTGCTTTAAAGATGGCACAGCAGGTAAAGCCTCCGCCTACGATGCTTGCGTCCCGTCTAGGCGTCAGTTCACGTCCCAGCTGTTCCACTTCCAACCCAGCTCCCTGCAAATGGCCCGGGAAAAGCAGCAGAAGACGGCCCAAATGCTTGGGCCCCTGCTACCCGTGTAGGAGACCCAGAAGAAGCTCCTGGCTCCTGGCTCCAGCCCTGGCTGTTGCAGCCATCTGGGGAGTGAACCAGAGGATGGAAGATCCCTCTCTCTGTGTGTATCTAATTCTTTCAAAATAAATAAATAAATCTTTAACAAAATTAAATAAAAATTAAGTCTCATTTAGTCATGTTCCTATAAAATAAGAACACCATCATCAGCAACAGTTACTACGAGAGTGCGTCCTCAGATATGGCTGCTCCCTGTGTCAGTCTCAAATGCAAACAAGTGAGGCTGTATGTACTGGCGCAGTGTTGGAAGCTCTCAGTCTCAAACTTCAGCGGTGTGCATGTGTGTGTGAGAGAGAGAGAGAGAGAGAGAGAAGAGACATATGCGTGCATGTGTATGAAAGAGTGGCTATAACTATTCACGCATTCATTTTTCTATGGCTCCTTTTACACCCATCTTACACCTCTTTCTTGCTTTTGCGGGGTGCCAGGTCATGAGTCCTTCCCCGCGGTGCAAGCTGGGATTTTCTTTTAGCTGCTCTCCGTCTCTTCTGAACCTTAAGAGACCATCCCTGGGTCCAGAACCAGAACCAGAACCAGGGGTGGAAGGCCGTGTCGGTTCTGACTCCATGAGCTCCCTCGCTCTCACTCTCCAGATTCAACTGCCTGTTTGCTCCCTGGGTCCCTTGCTTGAGGACGGGGTCTGCACAGCCCCCACCAATCTGGAGCGGATGCATCACACAGGTCCTTCCTACGCCTTTTGGTTTAATTTTCAAAATACTTCCTGATGACGATCTGGGCATCAGCTGGCTCTGCCGATTACGACAGGCGCTGTCTTCACAGACGCCGGGAGCCTCTGACCCCGTCTCCCGGCTGGGCTTCTGCAATCAGAGGCTCAGCCGAGGAACCGGCTCTCTGTGGCCCTCGGCTCAGGGTCGCACTTGGTGGAGGCGCTGAGCGCTGGCGGTGGAGCACCTGCCGGGCCACCGATCATCGCCTGCTCATCCGTCCTTAGCTCATACCCACGACTTCTCCCAGCTGCACCTGCACCGTGCCCGAGACTCTTCCACGGTTTGGGCTGGGGCTGTGCGTGTTACTGACAAACTTCCTGAGACAGAAATTCATGTTTTGGTTGTGTCTTGTTTTCTCGGTGTAGTGAGAAGTTCCCAAGGACTGAAGGGACACACTTCAGATTGGTTCAAGTGAAAAAAAAAAAATCAAAGATAGGGAGAGAGGAAAGGTGCTGGGGGGAAGACAGTGGTTCCCACGGAAACTAAGAATCAAACTATGAGGCTTGGGGCTGGCACTGTGGCACAGCAGGAAAAGCCTAGGCCTGTGACGTAAGGATCCCATATGGGCGACGGTTTGAGTCCCGCTTGCTCCACTTCCAATCCAGCTCTCCGCTGTGGCCTGGGGAAAGTATAGGAAGATGGCTCAAGTGCTTGGGCCCCTGTATCCACGTGGGAGACCCGGAGGAGGCTCCTGACTTCAGCCTGGCCCTGAGCTGGTGTCCAGTTGGGGAGTGAACCAGTGGATAAAGATCTCTCTCTTTCTCTCTAGCTCTTTCAGATAAATAAACAACTCTTTTTTAAAAAAGTAAAATAATACAAAAAATAAAAACAAGAAAACCATGCGGCCACTTCTAAGAGCTTGTGGAACAATGCGAGAAGATGAGTTTATTTTGGTGCAAAACCGTTTTGGGGTGCAGGCGCGGTCTTCGCATGACAGGCCTTCCCATGGACTTCCGGAAGCTCGCAGGCGTGGGCAGCGCCAGGCGGCCGGCCCAGGACCCTTCACCCAGCTCTGAGCTCTGACTCAGCTTCCCAACGCCTGACTCTCAGGCTCAGAATCACATGAGAGGCGGCAGTAGCTCCCACGTCACTCTGGACGGGAGGGTCGTGAAGATGCGGTCGCAGCACAGCCAGGAAAAGGCCTTACGTAGACACACGTGCGTCTGGTTTTCCCGTTGAACAGGGCGTCCCTGGGAATGGGGCACACTTTCTCCAGCCACAGCAAGCGTTCTGGGGGTAGCTGGGCAGGCTCCCCTCATCTGGGTGGCTATGGGCAGGGCTTTGTGGATCGCATGCTGTCTTCATGTTGGGGCGAGTGGGGGCAGAACAGCGGGGGAGTGACGGGCAGGAGCAGTCCAGCCCCTTGGCCCAAGCATTCTCAGGAAGGCTCTCTCTGAGCCAAAGCCGTTCTCTCTGCCAGGGTTCTCTCTCCATTCCACAAGCACGTTCGGGCTTTCGGCAAAGTGGATCACACAATTCTCTTGCTTCCGATTCTTGCCCTGTGACAAGAGCGTGGTCCTGCAGGCTATGAGTCCTGATGGAGTTCACCAGCTGTTTCATGTAGGCAACGTCTGTATCCACTTTTGGATGCAGGTTCTTGCCTCCCACAGATAGAAATCCTGAGCCGAGACTGGTACGGCGAGCACACAGGAACAGAGCTAATTGGGTAGTGAGGGAATGAACATGTAGTCACCTGTAAGTGTGGGCCGCCCCACAAAGAAAAATACCCCACATGAAAGAATCGTCCATAAATGAGAGAGAAAAGAAAAACGGTAAACGGTACCTGTGATTGGGAAGGTCTGTCCGAGACCACTGTGGATGGAAGAGCACACATGGGAGCTGCCCGCTGCAAGGCGCAAAAGGACTCTCCTGCCTTCCAACTCTTTTTATAAGGAAGGGGGTGGTACCCCGTTGGATACTCAAACAGAGTGGAGTCTTAGGGTGTGCCTTGGTCCCGGATGCAACAGGAGCATCCTGGGAAGGTGGGCATGGCGAACCCACTTTATTTATTTATTATTTTTTACAGGCAGAGTTAGACAGTGAGAGAGAGACAGAGAGAAAGGTCTTCCTTCCATTGGTTCACTCCCCAAATGGCCGCTACGGCTGGAGCTACGCTGATCCGAAGCCAGGAGCCAGGTGCTTCTTCCTGCAAACCCACTTTAAATAGATGGCATCAGTTACATAGTCAGCGCCATTTCGCGGGGACACATGAGTTCCAGCTCGCCTAAACTTCAGCTAGGTACACCACTTCCCCTGCACCTCCCAGGTGTCTCCGGAGCCTCCCAAGTCCTTCCTTTAGAAGGCCTCCCTGGAGAATCAAAGCCTCTGTGACCCTATGTATCATTTAGTGAACTCAGGGCAGACAGGCTCTTCAGCAGACCTAGCTGAAGTGGGCCGCTGGCCCGAAGCTTGCTCTGTTCCCCGTTTCTTGCCTTCTATGATGGGAGAAACGTTGCCGTTTTGCAGCCAGGAATGGATGCTCTTTGGGCTCACGAGTGCCACTTGGCTGTACTGTGTCTTCAGGGACAGGAGCTGCCGGCGGCATGGGCGGCGCCAAGGCCTGCCCCGTAGTCTACAATCCCACGGCCCAGGGGAAAGTCACGTGCTTCTGGGCTCTGAGCAAATACTGATTTGCTCGGCGCTCTGGTCACACCCGGGTGGACCTCGCGCCATTAATAGGCACTGGAGCGGGATGTGAGGCGCTCAGCGCAGCTGTGCAGAGATCAGCTCACAACCGACGGGTCGGGCTGGGACACAGCTGGTTCTTCTCTGCACACCTACACGACACGTACTACGATGCAGGGGAGGAAAATGGCACTAACTGCTTTGTGAAGCAACGTGAACGCAGTGAGGCACCCACAGAGGGAGGCGGGCTCCTCATCACCATCACCGTCACCGTCGATCACCGGCTGCGGCCTCTGTCAGACAGTTGCAAAAGGTTTCGAGTGGATGACCTCATTCAGTGCTTTCGACAGCCTCCCAGGACAGGTGCTGCCTCCTGGTTGTTAGATAAGGGAGCGGAGGCCCAGCCAGCGTGAATAACTCGGCCAAGCTCAGACAGCTGGTAATGAGGACGCAGGAGAACAGTCTCGGGCGTTCTCGGTGTTCCCGGAACCCCCCAGGCTGCCTGACCGAGGCTGGGGTCGGTGTTCCCAGAACCCCCCAGGCTGCCTGACCGAGGTCCTTGGGCCCCTCCCAGGCCCGGCTGGGGTCGGTGTTCCCGGAACCCCCCAGGCTGCCTGACCGAGGTCCTCAGGCCCCTCCCAGGCCCGGCTGGGGTCGGGGATTTGGATGCTCTACAAATGCCATTTCTGTTCTCTTAAGCTCAGCCTCGACTGGCCGCTTCTTCCCTCGTTGCAGGTGCTACTAGTCTAACATCTGCCAGCTCCCATGGAGACAGGCAAGGATGTTGTCTGCAATATAAACTTGGGGCCGGCGCCGCAGCTCACTAGGCTAATCCTCCACCTTGTGGTGCCGGCACACCGGGTTCTAGTCCCGGTCGGGGCGCCGGATTCTGTCCCGGTTGCCCCTCTTCCAGGCCAGCTCTCTGCTAGGGCCCGGGAGTGCAGTGGAGGATGGCCCAAGTGCTTGGGCCCTGCACCCCATGGGAGACCAGGAGAAGTACCTGGCTTCTGCCATCGGATCAGTGCAGTGCGCCGGCCGCAGCGCGCCGACCACAGCGGCCATTGGAGGGTGAACCAACGGCAAAGGAAGACCTTTCTCTCTCTCTCTCTCTCTCTCACTGTCCACTCTGTCTGTCAAAAAAGTAAATATATATATATAAACTTGGAACAGTGCCAGCCACCTAGGTGCCCTCTAGGGGGGATAGATAAATGCACAGCGATACAGGCACCTGATAGAATCCCATGTCACAGTGAAGAGAAATGAACCAGAGCTACTGGTATCAACAAGACTTGTCTAAAGCACAAAGCAAGTTCCAAAAGATACAGGCAAGACGGTAACATTCGTGTAACATTTAAAACACTAAGCAAAAGCAGGGAATGGTGACATCAGTGTGTAATGTCCCATGGGAATCCTGGGTGAGAAGGATGCACTCTAACGTCGGGATTCAGGCCACGTCTGCAGAGGGAGAGGGAAGCGGCTCCGCTGTGTCTGTAACACTCAGTTCATTTTAAAAGATGGCCCTGGGGGCCAGTGCCATGGCTCAGTGCGCTAAGCCTCCACCTGTGACCCAGATCCCATATGGTTGCTGGTTCGAGTCCTGGCTGCTCCACTTTGGATCCAGCTCTCTGTTATAGCCTGGGCAAGCAGCAGAAGATGGTCCAAGTCCTTGAGCCCCTGCGGTCACGTGGAAGACTCGGAAGAAGCTCTTGGCTTTGGATTGGCTCAGTTCTGGCCGTTGTGGCCATCTGGGGAGTGAACCAGTGGGTGGAAGACCTCTCTCTGTCTCTCCCTCCCTCTCTGTGCCTGTAGCTCTCTCTCTCCAATGAATAAATAAAATCTTTAAAAAAAAGGTTGTCCTGAAAATGCCCTTCAAAGGGCGAATAAGCAAACTGTGGTACATTCACATCATAGAGCACCCTCAGTTACCATCCAGATCCCATGGCATATTATCACACGCTTCAGAGAGTACGTGCCCGGCGGTTACGACAGTGAAGGCCCCGTGGCCCGTATCCGAGTGCTTGGGCTGAGTCCTGAGTCCAGCTTCCTGCTGACGCAGACCAGGAGGCAGGAGTGGTGGATGGAGTAACTGGGTCCTCACCACCCACATGGGAGAACTTAGTTGCATTCTCAGCTCCAGGCTTTTGCCTAGCCCAGTTCTGACCATTGTGGACATCTGGGGAGTGAACCAGTAAATGGGAGCTCTCAGTCTGTCTATTTGTCTCTCTCCACCTCTCAAATAAATACTTAAAAATTTTGAAAAAGGCAGGCAGCAATTTGGCATGGTAGTTAAGACACTGCTTGAAATGTCACACCCTGCATTGGAATGCCTGGATTCAAGTCTTACCTCCCCACCTGGTTCCTAGCACCCTTGGGGGCAGCAGGGTATTGGCTCAAGCACTTGGGCATCTGCTACTCCCATAGAAGACCTGGATTGAGTGTCTGGATCCTGGCTTCAGCACGGCCCAGCCCTGGCTATTGTGGGCATTTAGGGATGGGGGACTCTCTGCTTGTGGCCTCTTGGTCTGCGTCTATCTTTCTCTCAGCCTTTCAAATCAATATTTATAATTGTTTCAACTGTCATATTGTGGGACGGTAGGATTGATTATAAATTTAAACTATAACTTGGTCATCTTTAGTCAGGCAGCAAGTTTTTTCTTTTTAAAAATTATTTAATTATTTATTTGAGAGGTAGGGTTCAGATAGAGAGAGGCAGAGGCAGAGAGAAAGGTCTTCCATCTACTGGTTCACTCCCCAGTGTGAGGAGCAACTGGGAGCAACTCGGACTAGACTAAGTTACTGGAATTAAGACTTATTCTATGCATCTGCTCTCCCACAATATGGCGCTGAGAAGGGAGTAACAGCTTCTACACAGCTGCCTCCAGTTCAGCCAATAAACTGTAGGACCTGCTCCTGATTGGAGGAGAGCAGCGTACTCAGCGTGTGGGCAGCAGAGTTGGGATTGGTGGAAGAGGACTATAAAGGAGGAAAGAGACAACATGCACCAGGAACACCTGAGGAACATCTGAGCAGCCCCCGAGAGAGCCGGCCGGCGGTGTGCCGCTCCCCTGCGGAAGTGGGGAAAGTGGCAGGGGGAACCGCCCTTCCACGGAGGTGGAAGGGACAGTGGCCAACCCGGGAAGAACCAGCAGCAAACCCGGGAAGGGCCGAGCAGACAAAAGAACAGCGCAGGGTCCTGTGTCGTTCCTCCGCAAAGAGGGGGAGTGACACCCCAGATAGCCACAACGGCCAGAGCTGAGCCCATCTGAAGCCAGGAGCCAGGAGCTTCTTCCAGGTCTCCCATGTGGGTGCAGGGGCCCAGGGACTTGGGCCATCTTCCACCTCTTTCCCGGGCCATAGCAGGGAGCTGGACTGGAAGTGGAGCAGCCAGGACTCGAACTGGCGCCCATATGGGATGCCGGTGCTTTAACCCACTGAGCCACAGTGCTGGTCCCCCAGTTTTTTTTAAAGTGTAAACTATTGATCCAAGCGACAGCCTGACCAGATCTCAAGGACACTTTGCCAACTGAAAAAAACAGGCCAATGTCAAGAAGCTCCTTCATTTCATTTGTATAACATTTTTTAAATGTTTATTTATTTATTGGAAAGTCAGAGTTAAAGAGAGAGAGAGAGACAAAGAGAGGTCTTCTATCTGCTGGTTTACTCTCCAGATGGCCACAACTGGCAGCCCTGGGCCAGGTCGAATCCAGGAGCCCAGAACTCCATCTGGCCTCCCACATGAGTGGTAGGAGCCCAAGCACCTGGGCCGTCTTCAGATGCTTTCCCAGGCCACTAGCAGGGAACTGGATTGGAAGTGGAGCAGCTGGGACTCAAACCAGTGCCCACAGGGGATGTTGGCATCACAGGCTTCACCCGCTACGCCACAGCACCGGCCCCTGAACCAGGCACCATGACATGGGATTCGGGGTCCTAACAGTGCCCGGAACTGCGTGTGCCAGGCCTACCCCTGAGGTCTCTTTTCCAGGGGCTCGCAGGCGCTGCTCACCACTTTATCACCACTCAAAGGCCACCTCGTCACCCTGGGGACATGACTTTACCAGATGACTCGGGGGTGGGGGTGTAGACATGTGAGCCACAACAGACGACTACTGGAAACGCTCTCTGCTGGATCTTAGCCCCAATGCCAAGAAGCAATAAAGTCATCCTTCTAAGTGCACAGTTCGGTTATTTTTAGTCTATCCACAGACTTGTGCAATCACACCACCCTCTGATTCTAGAACTTTCATCACCCTGAAGAGAAACCTTTTCTTCCGGCAGTCATTCCCCAC